TACAGCAATACATTACAGTATATAGACGTTAACAAGTATTACAGCAATACATTACAGTATATAGACGTTAACAAGTATTACAGCAATACATTACAGTATATAGACGTTAACAAGTATTACAGCAATACATTACAGTATATAGACGTTAACAAGTATTACAGCAATACATTACAGTATATAGACGTTAACAAGTATTACAGCAATACATTACAGTATATAGACGTTAACAAGTATTACAGCAATACATTACAGTATATAGACGTTAACAAGTATTACAGCAATACATTACAGTATATAGACGTTAACAAGTATTACAGCAATACATTACAGTATATAGACGTTAACAAGTATTACAGCAATACATTACAGTATATAGACGTTAACAAGTATTACAGCAATACATTACAGTATATAGACGTTAACAAGTATTACAGCAATACATTACAGTATATAGACGTTAACAAGTATTACAGCAATACATTACAGTATATAGACGTTAACAAGTATTACAGCAATACATTACAGTATATAGACGTTAACAAGTATTACAGCAATACATTACAGTATATAGACGTTAACAAGTATTACAGCAATACATTACAGTATATAGACGTTAACAAGTATTACAGCAATACATTACAGTATATAGACGTTAACAAGTATTACAGCAATACATTACAGTATATAGACGTTAACAAGTATTACAGCAATACATTACAGTATATAGACGTTAACAAGTATTACAGCAATACATTACAGTATATAGACGTTAACAAGTATTACAGCAATACATTACAGTATATAGACGTTAACAAGTATTACAGCAATACATTACAGTATATAGACGTTAACAAGTATTACAGCAATACATTACAGTATATAGACGTTAACAAGTATTACAGCAATACATTACAGTATATAGACGTTAACAAGTATTACAGCAATACATTACAGTATATAGACGTTAACAAGTATTACAGCAATACATTACAGTATATAGACGTTAACAAGTATTACAGCAATACATTACAGTATATAGACGTTAACAAGTATTACAGCAATACATTACAGTATATAGACGTTAACAAGTATTACAGCAATACATTACAGTATATAGACGTTAACAAGTATTACAGCAATACATTACAGTATATAGACGTTAACAAGTATTACAGCAATACATTACAGTATATAGACGTTAACAAGTATTACAGCAATACATTACAGTATATAGACGTTAACAAGTATTACAGCAATACATTACAGTATATAGACGTTAACAAGTATTACAGCAATACATTACAGTATATAGACGTTAACAAGTATTACAGCAATACATTACAGTATATAGACGTTAACAAGTATTACAGCAATACATTACAGTATATAGACGTTAACAAGTATTACAGCAATACATTACAGTATATAGACGTTAACAAGTATTACAGCAATACATTACAGTATATAGACGTTAACAAGTATTACAGCAATACATTACAGTATATAGACGTTAACAAGTATTACAGCAATACATTACAGTATATAGATGTTAACAAGTATTACAGCAATACATTACAGTATATAGATGTTAACAAGTATTACAGCAATATATTACAGTATATAGACGTTAACAAGTATTACAGCAATACATTACAGTATATAGACGTTAACAAGTATTACAGCAATACATTACAGTATATAGACGTTAACAAGTATTACAGCAATACATTACAGTATATAGATGTTAACAAGTATTACAGCAATACATTACAGTATATAGATGTTAACAAGTATTACAGCAATATATTACAGTATATAGACGTTAACAAGTATTACAGCAATACATTACAGTATATAGACGTTAACAAGTATTACAGCAATACATTACAGTATATAGATGTTAACAAGTATTACAGCAATACATTACAGTATATAGATGTGAACAAGTATTACAGCAATATATTACAGTATATAGACGTTAACAAGTATTACAGCAATACATTACAGTATATAGACATTAACAAGTATTACAGCAATACATTACAGTATATAGACGTTAAAAACAAGTATTACAGCAATACATTACAGTATATAGATGTTAACAAGTATTACAGCATACACACTTACACAGTATATAGCAGTTAACAAGTATTACAGCAATACATTACAGTATATAGACGTTAACAAGTATTACAGCAATACATTAGAGCAATGAAGGACTGTTAATACAAGAATACATGTGTACAAATATTAGTGTGTGGGCTTACAGGCTGAAACAGGAAAAATACTTTTAACTGCAATATACATTTCAAAATAGAATAACACAAAGCAATAAATGATAGTTGGTAAGTATAGTGTCATTGGATTCAATTGTTATTTTGATCTTCTTATCTCCTTTTAGCACCAATAAATATTTGAGGAAACATTTAGGATAATTAGAACATGGAAAATGATATACCAGTACGCAGAATATTGTCAATAAAAAAACACCAACATGGAACTAACTTGCTTAACATAACAAGCTTTGGACATCACCTTTGTACAACCAAACATTCATATCTTAACCAACTTATATATATAAATATCGAGGTTGATAAAACGACCAACTGAATTTAAATATGAAGAAAATTAACACGAATATCTACATTAAATAATAGTGATTTCTAGTAATGATCCTATGTATAGACAAAGAAAAATAAATCAGTGCCTGCCAAACCTAGTTTTGCGTATTTAAGTTGAAACATATATAACTGGTCATATTGCTAATAGGTTTGTGATAAGTATACCGGTATATATCAATAATGAACAGTCCTTCCTCCTGCCATGTGTATCTGCTTTTGCCAGGAGAACAAATTTTATATTAATTCATTAAATTTACATCCTTCATATTGACTGTGAACAACAGTTCTGTCTTGTGACAGTTGTTTTTAAATGACAGTGTTGCAGTGATTTCATTCCTTGGTATTAATGAGATTGGAGTTATGCGAGTTCAAGGCCCTCCCGAGGGACAATTATAGTACTGGGTTCCTTCATAATTTAAGTTTTTATATTATGTATCAAATGAATAAATATTGATCAGAAGGTTTTCAATAGGGGAATAAAATGTTGTACAAATCTTCTTTTATTTAGTTTTCAAATAATAAAGTGAAAACAAAAATATCTTTGGTAGAAAAATTCTTCAATTGTGCAACACATGTACATAAAAAAATTCATTGTAAACTAATGGACAATTAATCAAATGAAATAGAAGTTGATTTGAAATTATGAAAAGAAAAATGAATCAATTAAAGATAATACTGCACAGTTCAAAAATAAAAGTTTGTTCAAACAAGAAAAAAATTCAACTTGGTCATGCTGTAAATTACATTAGAAAAACGAAAGGGAGACAATGTTCTGCTGTTACAGAATAAAAAAAACCCAATAATTTACATCTAGGGTGCATTTGTTTCTCACGATCAAAACAGTTGAACCGGTTGGACCAGAGTTGTTCGTTTATGAAATAAGGTTAGATCTAGTAATCTGATGCTGCTTTCAGGCGAGCCTTGACAAAGTCTTGCAAGGCCTGCATAAACCTCGCCAGGATTTATGCCCAAAATGTTAAATTGAAAACAGACAAACCAGTTGTCCCGGATCCGCCAAAGGGGCCCTAGTTACATTGGGAATAGTCCAACCATTGTCAAAACGTACGTTAAAAAATAAAACTGTGTGATTATCAAAGTACCTATCAATAAACAAGAGATCCCACAGGGATCTTGGCACCCACCATAGAACCGTACCATCTTCATTAGTTCTTTGTCAGTTTGATCTTTTATCTTCTTTTCTCTTATCCGTTAGATCAGATTGCCTTTCTGCCATCTTAATCAATCATTTGAACAACCTCAAAAGTTACATGCACAACTCAGGACCACAAGGACTGGGTGAAGGGGAACCTACATATCAAAGAAAAAATCCTCCAGTTAATTCTGAGAAATTGCGATAACAAACTTAAACTGTAACAAGATGGCTGACCAATGATTTGATATGAATAACTAAGAACAAGAGGAACCTTTATGTGAAATTTGAGAAAGATCCTTCCAAGACTTTTTGAGCAATAGGGCTAACAAACTTTTACTCACAAATTCAATACGATCACATGCCAGCCATCTTGGTTTTCCAATCATAACCAAAATTTGAATGCAGAAAAAGGAACCATGGGGAACCTTCATGTGAAATTTGAGAAAGCCCCCTCCTGAACATTCTGAGAAATAATGCTAACAAACTTTCATTCTCAAATTCAAGATGGCCGTCTGTTGGCCATCTTGGTTTTCCCTTCTGTCCTAAACTTTTATATGCGTAACTTAGGCTGATGGGGAACTTTCATGTCAAATTGGAGAAAGACCCCTCCAGAACTTTCTGAAACCCAGCGCTAACAAACTTTCATTCTCAAATTCAAGATAGCTGTCTGTCGGCCATTTTGGTTTTGTGATTAGTCCCAAAAATCGATATGCATAACTAGTCGGCCATTTTGGTTTTGTGATCAATCCCAAAAAATGATATGCATAACAAAGGATCATGGGGAACCTTTATGTGAAATTTGAGAAAGAAACTTCTCATAAGTTCTGGGAAATCGCACTTACACTCTGAAACTCTCAAATATAAGATGATTGCCTGTCGGCCATCTTGGTTTTGTAATCAGTCCAAAAAATTGATACTCATTACTAGTCAGCCATTTTGGTTTTGTGATCAGTCCCAAAATTATGGTATGCATAATTAGGGATCATTTGAAACCTTCATGCGAAATTTGACAAAGATCTCTCCAGTACTTTCTGATGAACAGCGCTAACAAACTTTAACTCTCAAATTCAAGATGGCTGTCTGTCGGCCATCTTGGTTTTGTGATCAGTCCCAAAAAACGATATGCATGACAAAGGATCATGGGGAACCTTCATGTAAGATTTGAGAAAGATCCCTCCTGCACTTTCTGAGAAATAGTGCTAACAAGAATTGTTTAAGGACGGACGGACGGACGACAGACCACGGATGCAGGGTGATTTGAATAGCCCATCATCTGATGATGGTGGGCTAAAAATTACTTACTTATCATATAAAAAGGTACTGGACTCCTCAAGTTTCTTATTCTTTTTTTTAGATCCAACCACAATACTGCTTTGGCTCAATACTTTAGAAGTTACAAACATGAAAAATATTGTTTTAAACAAATCAACTCAAGTCTTTTTTCCTAGCATAGGAACTTTGCAGCAACTAGACCATAGCAAAAATAGGAAAATAGTAAAATCACTCACTCACACAAAAAATATACTTTGTTAAAGTATAATGAATTTCATATTTTCATATAGAAAAATAACATTACTTTTCTTCCTAGCAGTCTAATATATGAATATTACCTTGAAATAAATAGAAATCAGGATCTCAAATCATATCATGTAACATTCATGTACATTATTGTAAAAAAAGGAATACAACAAGTTTACAGATTATAACTGAGGTTTGACCACACCAACAAATTACATAATTGAATGCTACTTGCGAAATCTTTACACTATCACAAGCAATAAAACTGCAAAAAGGGTCGAAATGTTACAAAAAATCTCATTTGGCATTAGGATAATGATAAAAATTACCTCAACATGGCTACTGGAAATTATGATAAATATATAATATACACTTCAAGATTCAAAGTATAAAAGATACAGCTTAAACATATGATCACAGGCATTACAGTTATAGAGGTTTTTGAGAATACACTGGTCAGAAATTCTCAAGGGAAGACAAACTCTTCGACGAACACATTCATGATTTTATTTCTCCTGAGTGTATACTCTATATATGCACTATTCTTTACATAGGTTTTAGATTTATTGATTTGTTAAAAAATACATAAAAAATTTAAACCCTGAAAATGTGTTGCTCTTCCAAAACGGAATTAGCTGGGACCTTTGACTATCAACTTATTTGTTTAAGCTACAAAACTGTGAATATTTCACCCCACACAATTACATTTTAATACTGAAAAGCAATTGTTTTCTTTACTGGGAAAAATCTTTAAAATATATGAAATATTCTTCATTAATTTACAACAAGTTTGAAGATGAGGTATTTTGAACAATAATTATTTTCCAATTGTTACTATATGCATACTTCAGAATCATGATGAACATTTATGCTGGTTTTTTTTATTAATTGCTTTCAAAAACAAAACTTTTTTATTATGATATATCCTTATATGTAAACCCTGAATTTTATAATATAAATACCTTTCAAAAACATGTGCAATTTTCAATCTTTTCCAACCGAAAATATAAATGTTGTAAACAAAATTCCTGTTTGGCCAAGTTGGTAAAGACTTAATAGAAAATTTCTGTTGAACTTCTATAAAAATAGTCCTAGATTGCAGTAAACTATTTACCAATAATTTACCAATGGAAGGGAGATAATCGCTTTCAAAATGACACAAACACCATGTCTGAAACTTTGTAATTTTTACACATAGGTGTCAACCTCCAAAACTTCCAATGAAGGAGATCTCCCTCATTCCACATTTCCAATGAAGGAGAAAGTGCGTGAAACACGACTAAAACTACTTTGCTCAATTGATCTTTCCCTTTTTATGTTTCAAAATAACTCCAAAAATCATTCATTTGATTCAGACACACCTGTTATGATCAGTACACACCCTGCAGTAACTAGGAGATTTTTTGACCACACAATGTGGATTTTGAGTTTGTGTGAGTTTTGACATGAATAAGGGAGTTTGAAGGAAGATTGGTAAATTTTGGTCAAAATGAGGGAGTGTTGATAGCTTGCTATTAACAAGTATTGTGGATTTCTTAAGCAGAAAAAACTTCCAATAAATTTAAAACAAAATATTGATAAGAGTGTACAAAAATCACAGAAGAACCAGTTGGTATTTTCAAGGCAAAAAGTAAAACATTTTTAAGACTGGATATAAGACTGGATATAAGATGTAAAGAACCAGACTCAACTGAATATCTGATCATGAGTGGCTGTTTACAATGCTATGTACCCATCATGTTTGACCTGGATCTGAAAGAAACTGTTGCAATACCTCTGGATAAGGATAACCAAACAGTTTGTAATCATTTACATATATTTTCCACAGCAACCTTAAATGAGGTGGTGGAATCTTTCCATAGAAATCTGCCATCGTGTCTTTAGTTTTTTTCCGTTTGTAGGTGGCTCCTCGAGCGGGAAACTTGATGATTTGGTCTATGTGGAGGTCGCGGAGGATCTGGTCAATGTCCTGGTCAATGGTTTCATACTTGCCGATGTAGTCGTACCTGATTAGACATGGATGACACAGACCGGAGTAGTGAGCCCAGTGTTCGTTGTAACCTTCCCTCCTAAGGGTGCTGGAGTCCGTAATGTACCTGATAAACTCTATAAATTGCACATCGTTTCCCAGCTCAACAGAAGATACAGATGGATTCTCCCTGTATCTCTTGATTATTCTTCGACCAAACCTCCTATGAAAGTATTCACTCTTCTCCATAAACTTATTTCTATAAGCAGATAACAGTCTTTCTAATGGTTCTCGTACAAATATAATTTTTTTGTAACTTTTTATTCTGTAGTTGATCTCTACTTCAGAACTGTAATCACTAAGATACTTCAAATGTTTATCATATGTAAAATGCACATCATTGCTTTTGATATCGAGGGGATTTGTCGTGTTCATTGTACCCGTGAGGAGAAGAAATACCCGTTTCATATTGGTACAGGCGACCTTAGGAATGTAACAGAACATGACTTGATATGTATCGTCCACCAGGATATGACCGAGCTGGCTGGCGATGACACTGTTGGGAACCACGCCTTCACTCTCTAGCTGGTGGCAGCCCTGCTGCAGTGTCGCTAATCTCTCTTTCTGTATAACATTTGCAGGAATGTTGGTGTTCTACCAAAAGCAAGAAAAGCAAGATATCAGATGTAATAATACAATGCATAACATCATAGTTCCCAAATTGTTTCTGCTTCACAAAGTCATATTTTATCTCTCTTGGTATAGTTTGACAAGAATTACCTGTTGTGTTGACCTTCAATTACCTCATTGATTAGAGGCGAGTCCATTATGAAATAGGGAGTAGACGTAGACCTTCCTGGTACGTTACAGATAAACTTAGTATGTAATAGTTTAAAAATGGTAAATGTGTTTATGAGTGTTTTATAACAGGATTACTGACAACTGTCTCAGTGTGTACCTACATTGTACATGTATACTGTACTCAATACATCTGAACATCAGTGATCAGGTGGACAGATATACTACACATAGAATGTAACTGGCCAGTGTGTACCTACCTTGTACATGTATACTGTACTCAATACATCTGAACATCAGTGATCAGGTGGACATATATACTACACATGGAATGTAACTGGCCAGTGTGTATATTCTGAGGAAAGGTCAACGCCATAGGTCATTTTTGTCTCGCTATACATGTATAGAATTTAACAAATGATATATATTTGTAAAGATGATAGTTGTAAGCTTCTTTTCATACATATAATAATAATAATAATAATAATAACAGTAACACGCATACTGAGTATTGCTAAAGCAATACATGTCCCCTACCGGCCCCCGCTAGCTATTACACTGTAACGATTTATAACAAGAGGCCCAATGGGCCTGCATCGCTCACCTGGTATTAATCTCACACTTGTAATCTTAAAAGTGGACTAAAATACAGCTACAGGCAGACTATCAGTGTTTGATTCATAAGAAGTGAACCTATTAAAAGATTTAAACGTGATGCATGTGACCTTTATTGTCGACCATGGACATTAGGTTGAAAGTGGGTCAAGGTAATTCATTTGAACAAACTTGGTAGCCCTTCATCCCAGCATGCTACAGGCCCAATATCAGTACCCTGGGCCTTTGGTTATTGAGAAGAAGTTGTTTGAAGATTTTAAGACATTTGTCACCTGTCACCTTCAAAGCTGGTCAAGGTCATTCATTTGAACAAACTTGGTAGCCCTTCATCCCAGCATGCTACTGGCCAAATATCATCAGCCTGGGCTTCTTGGTTATTCAGAAGAAGTTGCTTAAAGTAAAATATTGGGCCAGGTGAGCTAAAAATGGTGCCCTTTGGTGTTATTTTGGGAAAATGAAAAGTATACAATTAGCTTGTAACTGATTTTAATGTAATAATAATACAAGAAAAAAGTAAGTGTGACTTTGACCCAACAACTCTGAAACTCAAACTTGTCAAAGATATTATGGTCCTTTGTATTTGTTAGAAGTTTGATCAAAATCCCTCAAGGAATCAAGCCGCTAGAGTGCTGACAAGGATTTTCTAAAAATAGTAACGGTGACCTTGACCTAACAACCCTGAAATTTGAACTTGCCCGAGATATTATGGTCCTTTGTATTTGTGTGAAGTTTGATCAAAATCCCTCAAGGAATGAAGCCACTAGAGTGCCGACAAACATTAGGGTTACATACCGTATGTACACAGACGGAGAGGAAAAACTATAGTCCCCCCCTGGTTTGGGTCTAATAATGATATACAATATTTATATATACCATAAAGTTTGAACCACACATGTTATCTCAGAGCATCCAAATTTTTGTCAGAAGCAATATTATTTTTATTTAAATTGTCTGTGATTGTTAGTCAACAACAAAAATAAAAATAATGAAATTATGTTTGTCTCTTCACAATATATCAAGATGTTTTTTTAAGAAGTACAAAGCATGAATGCCAGAAAATTTAACATATAACTTCTTAAAATGTGAGATTAAAAAAATCCACATTTAAATCACACTTTTTTGGAATTACTATACTCAAACAAAAAGACATGGCAGGGTATCTAAATAAGATAACAGTTCACAAATCATGAAACAACTTTTTTTATACACATTTATAAATTTGGCTTAAAGAAATATTACACAAAAACTGCTTTCATAGGTCATTTTCCTGCATTTTTATTTAGACCTATTTAATTGCTACATATTACAGACAATTTATCACAACATTGCCTACAGCAAATACAGGGCCCAACAATATATTGTACCTAGTTTTGGGGAGCATTATAAAGTAACTGCCATCCATGCAATCCCTCTTTCCTTCATTGCACCTGGTTTAGAGAAGTGTTATAGAGATACTGTCATTCAGGTTCTTTTGCCTACATTATATATGGTGTATATACCAGAATGTACTCAAAGCAAAATTGATTTAATTTTACTGCTTCCATTGATAAAACAAAATGCTTTAACCTATTGAAATCACAGCCTGTTGCTGAAATATGAAATCTTTTATTTAGGCATCATATTCCTTACCTGTAAATATTCCTTACCTGTAAATATTACTTACCTGTGAAGTTACGACTGATGACTTGCTTCCCAAAACATTGTCACGGAATCTAGCAACAACCTTTGTTTTGGGACCTGAAATGATAATCAAAACCTTTAAGTTATTTTGACATGATACATGTGCATGTACCTGATGCTATTAACTATGTAACAGATATATAACAAGAGATCCCAGAGGGATCATGACGCCCACCTTTGTACCATCTTCATTAGTTCTTTGTCAGTTCGATCTTTTCTCTTCTATCCTCTAATCTGTTTGATCGAGTCATGTTAACAGTAAATGCACCTTGAGGTAACTTTTGATCTAAACTTAATACTTATGTGTATGAAAGCCAACCTTCAAAGTGAGTTTGTCATTTCACATATTTACTAGTACAGTACTCAATGTGAAAGAAATAGAATCGATCATTGCAATAAGAGAAAGATCTGTTTAGTTCTTCTTTTAATCTATTTTGTTTTTATGATCAGTCTCAAAATATAACATGCACAACGAGAGATTAAGGGGAACATACATATAAAATTTGAGAAAGATCCCTTTAGTACTTCTTCTTGAGAAATAGTGATAACAAACTTTTACTATCAAAATCCAAGATGGCTGCCTGTCGGCCATGTCTTTTATACCCGATCAGTCTCAAAAGTTGCCCTGCACAGCAGGGAATTAAGGGGAACCTACATATAAAATTTGAGAAAGATCCCTCTGGTACTTCTTGAGAAATAGCGATAACAAACTTTCAATATCAAAATCCAAGATGGCTGCCTGTCGGCCATGTTTTTTATACCCGATCAGTCTCAAAAGTTGCCCTGCACAGCAGAGAATTAAGGGGAACCTACATATAAAATTTGAGAAAGATCCCTCTTGTACTTATTGAGAAATAACGATAACAAGAATTGTTTAAGGACGGACCATGGACGCAGGGTGATTTATTCAAATAGCCCACCATCAGATGATGGTGGTCTAAAAATGTAGTTAGCACCACATCAGGCATGACAAGATTGTGTTATTTTTCTATACCTTCAGAAGAAAATATTTGTTAAAATTTAGTATTTCATAGGATTTGATACATGTAAAGTAAATTTCTAAATCAAATATGAATGTACAACATCCAAAATGTAAATGGGTGAACATTACTAATGACATAGGATCGTCATACATACAACACCTACATGTACACATCTGGGTGAACCAACCATTTCTTATAATCTTAATAGTTTTTACCTTGTCTGTGGCTGGAACTGTGTCTTGCAGTTTGGCTCAAAAACACCAGTGGTACTACAATGCCAACGACTGCTATACATATAAAAATCTTTCTGGATTTCAACATTTTATTCACTCGTCTGCATTTCATGTATTGAGTGGTTTTACTTAAACTTCACGCCATAAAGCACCATGATAAACTGACATTGGTTGATGTAAACATCTGAAAAAATAAAAGATAAAAAACTTGTGTTATTTGCTACATTCAAGACACATGGTCATATTTGTTAGTAGACCTAGGGACTACGTATACCTAGGCCACCCATTCAAGTCTTCACTAAGATCATTGTTTGAAACAGTATAATTAAACTCTAATGCACTTGAATAGGTATTCACTGATTACTCTTCAAGTGATTATTGATTCCCAGATTACTTCTTGATATTTTTTAGAAATTACATTTTGTTCTAATAATATTTCACTGTAAGTCCAACAAGCATCCATAACAATGATAACATGACATTTATCTTCCAACATAGCAACCAAACAGTTTGACATGTTGGAAATAAATCTCCAGGGACAGACCCGGGTATCATCTGAGTAGCATGACAGTGTTCACCTCTTCATGTCTAGCAAGCACTATACTGGCCACTGTCTCTTGAATATTTAATTATTTAGAAAAAAAATTAAACTCAAATAATTGAATGTCTGATTCTAAGTTCTAAACTATGGGGAGATAAGCTAGTAGTAAAATGCAGTTGAGCAATTCTTCATAAAAACTGAGGGGCTGGAAGCCAGCTGTCTACGCAAGCACATATATCATAAAGCTATAGGATGGCCATGGTTATTTCAACTTTTTCGAAGTTTTGACTTAAGAACTATAAGTTCCTAGGCCTACGGGAAATCATTATATTATCACTATATTTGCATGTACAAATTTTGAATGATTTTTATGTGGTACAACCAAGCAACTTTGTCAACCCTATAACAACAGGAGCAGTCCCAAAGACCAACCCTAGTGACATATCTGTATTCATCTCTTCATGCCCAGCAATTGTATTTAGATTGGAGATCTCAAATCTTTCTAATATTTTCATTCAGTTTCACGCAGATGACATCGTTGTAAGCTAACTAGTAGCTTGTGGTGATGTATGATATTCTTTTCTTCTAATGTATACTGTACACACGCGCACTAGTTTGACTTCTGGTTGCTATATAGCTATTCACAGTTAAAGGTTCATTTCTTTATCTGGTAGGGTTGGAGTATTCAGCTCCCACTGTTGAATCCTCTCTTTTTACACTTTGGTGGTTAAAAAAACATCTGATTTTTTAAAATCATGGTCAGTGCCAAACAGTCAATTTGTTACATTGTCACTTTTGACTGATTGGACTTTCATATATATATATGTAACTAATAAAAAGATGGCTTGAATTTTGTCGGGTGATGTTTCCAGTGGCTGTTGAGCCGTGACTTGAAGGTGTTGAGCGTTGGAGAGGTTACTACCTCCTCTGTTAAAGAGTTCCACATATTTATCACTCTGTTGCTGTAGAAATTACCATATTTGTTCAGTCTGCATGGTCTTTTGAATAGTTTCCTGGAGTGCCCTCTGGTTCGGTTGTCTTCAGCTTCATGGAATAATTTGCCCTTGTCAAGAATGTCCATGTTGTTTAGTATTTTGTAGGTTTGAATTACGTCAGCCTGATGTCTTCTATATTCGAGAGTTGGGAGTCCGAGTTGTCTAAGGCATTCTTTGTATGTTATGTTTTTAAGAGTTAGAATCCCTTTGGTTGCTCTTCTTTGGATGTTTTCGATTGTATTTTTGTCGCGGATCAAAAATGGTGATGTAACTGTTGTCAAGTATTCCAGATGAGGTCTAAGCAGCGTTTTGTATAGAGTTACGAACATTACAGGGCTCATGTATGCAAAAGTCCGGAATACTATGCCCAGCATCCTATTTGCTTTTGATGCAGCTAGGTTGGCGGTGATTGAGAATTTTAACTGATTGTCTATATGGACACCTAGGTCTTTCTCGTGTTCCACTCGTACAATTGGGGAGTCTTTTCCATCTTGAGTTATGGTGTATATATATGGTCACCTTGTCTCTGTCCAAAATCCAGATGTTTACACTTTGTGGTGTTAAGTTGCATGAGCCAAGTTTTGGTCCAATCACACATATGGTTTATGTTGTCCTGCAGATTTTGGCGGTCTGCTAATGTTACATTTTTTGCAGATAGTTTAGTGTCATCCGCAAATAGTTTGATCGTACAGCTTAACATATCAGGCATGTCGTTGACATATATCAGGAACAGTATTGGTCCTAGAACACTCCCTTGAGGGACTCCACTTGTGACTGGTTTCAGGTTTGAGGTTGTTCCATTGATCGTTACTCGTTGTACCATATTTTCAAGAAAGGCTTTTATCCAGTTTAAAACTTTTCCCTCAATTCCATACTGTTCTAGCTTGTGTACCAAGAAACGGTGTGAGACCTTGTCAAAAGCTTTACTAAAATCCAAATATATGACATCTACAGTATGTTATCACCAGCTACCAGTCCTTTATGCCAGTTTTCCAGGGATTCTAATAGTTGAGTAGAACAGGATGTCCCTGGTCTGAACCCATGTTGGTCTGGTGTGAATAAGTTATTCATGTCCATGTGGGTTAGGATTTTGTCCCTTATTAGACGTTGCATTATTTTTGATGGTACCAACATTAAACTTATTGGCCTGTAGTTACTTTTTTTGGTCCTTTCTTGTAGACTTGTGTCACTGTTACCTCTTTCCGTGGTGTTGGCAGTTGGGATGTGTCCAATGATTTTTGGAAGGTGATTTGTAGAGGTTTTTTTAAGGCCTCTGCAGTTTCAAAAATGAGTTTAGGATGTATACCATCAGGTCCTGGTGATTTTGTTGGGTTAATCCGTTTGATAGCTTTAAGAACAGGGCCCAATGTGATGATGATATCTGATAGCAGATCTTGGTAGTTTCTCTTTGGAAAGGGTGGTAGTGGTAGATCTTGATATCTAACAAAAACACTTGCGAAGAAGTTATTTAGAGTATTTGCCAGGAAAAATATTGTATAGGAGAAAGTAGAATTCTATTGTGCTTGAATTGTGTTGAAAAATATATGAAGGAGACAAATGAATTGGTAGAGTATATGTCTGGAGGTAAAGTGTACATATTTCAGTCAAAACACATGTGTCCAAAAGAGAGCCCATGCACTGATCATGCAGCGACTGTTTGAAATAAGCGAGTGTCAGCTCAAAGATACACCAATTCAGTTTCTCAACGTGTTTCGCAAACAACACCAATATTTCATTACTATAAAACTGGCATCATCTTGCATACAGATAGTCAAAAGCAATAACATCTGCATATATATACCAAACTTTCTCTAGTTTGGAAACTTACGTGCTGCTGAAATTGAATAACCGGAAACGAATATTGATATCATAAAATTCAAATTGGTAAGCGGAAACCTTTTTCCGGATTATGAAAATTATGATTTGTATACGCCCCTTTCACATCATTTCGATTATAATTTATGCATGCATGTCTCTGCTCAAAATGACAAGAATAAAGCTAGTGTAAGCAGAGACGTATACATTATACCGTCACTGTACCCAAATCGGGACAGTACCGAACACGGGACACTTATGGGAGAACGGCCCAAGAAACTGCCATTCAAATCAAAGAAGTACTTTTATGTATACCGTTTTCATTTCATGATACTCTTCTGACAATTTAACTGTATGTAAGCTTTTTTGGCTGCTGATTATCGTTACATGGATAATTTAAGGTAAGAATTTCGACCAAAACAAAACTTTCCCGATTTACGTGCCGTGCGACGCTATTTACTTGGATATTATTTTCAAAAGTCTATTTTATTAAAAACTAATACTAGTTTGGAGAAGAAATTTAATCATAACCCTGTTTGACTCTAATATTTGAAATTTGTCTTCTTTACTGCTAATATTGATCGTTTATCCCCAAAATATTACAAAATATTGAAGCGTCCCTTTCAGGGTACAGTTACGCCGGTTCAACTGATTTAGAAAACACTTTCATATTTTTTCACATATTGGCACGCTACACTAGTCGGCAAAAAAGTGATACTGGCAACAAATCTTTTCGGCTGATTTCCAACAGCAATTCGTTTCATTGAACCAGAGACCAATTACTATTACGTCTCTGATTGAACATAGTCGTATAGACCATTCCTTTCAGTATGTTCAAGTTACATGTATTAGGGAAACTTTCTGCACAAAACTGGACCATTTTAACACCAATCTCGCCTTTCACGCCACTAAAAACGTTTGTGGCTGAGGAAATGTAAACTCACAGGCTTGTGAAATAATGTGTCGCTCCCTGACCACGGCTAGTTGCTTGTTGATATTGGTCCCTGAGCCAATTACAAACGTTGAGCCGGAAATTTTCTTTAAATTGAACTCTAAAATATGCAAATTATTGGATAATATGCTATGTTCAACAATTATTGTGTAATTTTAGTGTATAATTTTAGTGTATAATTTTAGTGTATTTGTGTCTTTTTGTGCTATGCTTTTTTTGCCGAATAAAGGGAACCTTTTGATTGAGTTATCAAAACAATGACGATATTGTTTCTAACAGTGTAGATGGGATGTTAACAAGAAATACTTTGAAGTGAAATGTCACTGAAACCAAACGTAACAATGAAATTTTTATCTTGGCGTTTACAAAAATTGTAGAACAATTCGAGTTTTCTCCCTTCGCACATGAATCTCTACCTACCGTGTACGATTTAATTTACGGTTTAACTTCAAACTAACTGCAAGATGCATAATTAAGCCTTTGTTTTTTCATAATGCTCAATATTAAACAAACAAAAAACATTTAAAAATCAATATTTGGAAAAAAAGTATCCTCAATGGGGAGCCAGAAAATAAAATTGAACTTATTTACATCTTGTGTAACATTGAGAATGGGAAATTAAAAAGTAAAAATACCGACTAAAGTATGATATAGATTTCCAATAAGTTGCATCACAAACAATGTATTAAAAAAAAGGTTTCCAAAATGGTTATATAACCTTCTAACGTTCTTTGCTTTAGCTGGGGTTTGAACAGCAATCTAAATTTAATTGATTTAATGATATATATCGATCTACTTCCGCGACAATCGACAGCAAACTTTACTTTGCCGAAATGCCAGCTACACGAAGAGGCTGACGAATGGGGTACACTAATGAGTTTCTGCTTTTTAACATTTTCTTAATACATGATCATATAAAATCTTTGCAGACGACAACATTGTCCTTTAACATGTAACTGAAAAAAGTAAAATTCCCGTAAATTGGTTCACCATTAAAATGGCATGAGGCTTTTTCAAGCATCTGTACGGTGAAGGAAAGATAAAATCATTTAATACTGCAACCTTTTGATTGTCAAAACCGTGTGAAGTTGCTTATGGTCGAATTGTTTTGTACGCTTAATTCTACTGAATACAACTTGTGCAGGCAAGGCTAAAAGCAGAGTTGTGTCATTTAAAGATAAATACAAAAGTCGGCCTCTGTGAATATTGTTCAGACCAGGTTTGTAAATCAGGGATAGACCTCACCTGAAGTCCATAATTGTATAATGTTAATTCGAAAAAAACACATCTATCAAGAATGAATAATTGAGGTCTGAGGCTGCAAAGGCGTGGAACAGTCGGCTTAATGCGCTCAGAAAAAAAGGTGGAACAGTCGGCTTAATGCGCTCAGAAAAAAGGGTGGAACAGTCGGCTTAATGCGCTCAGAAAGGAAGATGATTACAGGACTTTTCAAAGGCTGTTGCGCAATTGGGACAAACAAAGTGAAAACACTTACTTTTTATAAAATATTGATATGTCTTAGGAAGTGGTCGCCAGCCTTTCTCACTATGGTATAATGGCATTTAGCTATGTCAGTTTTGCAATATTGGCATATATTCATAAAACAAGCATAACTTACTCGTGTATGTTACTAATTTGTTTACTTCATTTTGCAGTAGATCCTTCTCGTTGCATACTCTTCGTCCTATATTTGCTTCATTGTACTTGAATGTTTTATTTGACATTGCTATGTTTAAGTTTGTTGTATTTACCGATGTACCTATAGTGTTTCTTTGTAGCAGTTGATTCGGTATTAAAGAGGTTTCTCTATTTCCGAGGTATATGTCAACGGCGGACGGGCGAAACTATATATATATATAAAAATGAAGGTTGATGATGCATGTACTATATGGGCAAGTTTTTTTTTTTTTTTTTTTTTTTTANAAACATTCCATTTCCGTGTGTGATATGAATGTCCACGTGTTAGATATCAGTGCAGGCTCGCTGAGGTGTCCTTGTGTGATATGAATGTCCATGTGTTAGATATCAATGTAGGCTCGCTGAGGTGTCCTTGTGTGATATGAATGTCCATGTGTTAGATATCAATGTAGGCTCGCTCAGTGTCCTTGTGTGATATGAATGTCCACGTGTTAGATATCAGTGCAGGCTCGCTGAGGTGTCCTTGTGTGATATGAATGTCCACGTGTTAGATATCAATGTAGGCTCGCTGAGTGTCCTTGTGTGATATGAATGTCCCTGTGTTAGATATCAATGTAGGCTCTCTTAGGTGTCCTTGTGTGATATGAATGTCCACGGGTTAGATATCAGTGCAGGCTCGCTGAGGCGTCCTTGTGTGATATGAATGTCCACGTGTTAGATATCAGTGCAGGCTCGCTGAGGTGCCCTTGGTTTTATCTACAATGCTAAGGAATTATCTGATGTGTGTGTGTGTGTGTGTGTGTGTGTGTGTGTGTGTGTGTGTGTGTGTGTGTGTGTGTGTATGTGTGTCTGTGTACGCGTACTTGTGTTTCTGAAATAATTGAAATAAAAGTTAAATATTTAAAAAGATATTAAAAAAATAACTTCCAAAAAATCACTTGAAGATATGACTCAGAAAACTCCATATCATCCAGTTTCACATCCGTTTTATTTTTATTTTAGCGTGATCTTACGGTGTCTTTACTTTGTTTTGGTGTTATATACATGTTAAAGTTTGACATAGATATGTAACAACATATATTCATGTGATGTTAATTTGTAAATTAATTTCATTTCAACATAGATTTGGTTTAGTTAAAAAAACAGCTTACAGGTTCTTTTCCAATATAAAATTATTTTTCAACAAATTTACATCAATTAATTTACTGTCACGAAATAAACAATTTTATCGGTTATTTTATAATCTCGAGTTACCTTTCTTAGCACAGAGAACACGCGCTACTAAGGGTTGTGTTGCCGTTATATATATATATCATTGACACTGTATGAACAAAGCTAACGACAGATCTGGGGTATTTGAACTGATTACCTGACCACTAAATGGAAGTAACCCTAATATATTTGACTCAAGTGTTGTTATATCGGCATCAACACACACACTCGGGCGGGGCATGTGTTACCGGGAATACAAAAAATCCAATTTAATGGCAATTTCAGCAGATTCGTGTTTACAGACGGTCGGAATGATCTAACTGGAATCCTTTGGTCAACAACGGGACGTCCAAACTACGTCACAACAGGTAAATGGACCAGGTGTCGATATATTTGAAGAACGAAGGTCTGGAATGGACTTATGGGGATATTGAACAATGTGCATTAAAGATTATAACAGATTTTAGCAGCGGTGTAAAAATTGCCACACCTTGAAATGGTATGGTATTACAATGAGTTGATGGATGACTTGATTAAATAAAATATATCCATACAACTTCTTTAAACCTCGGTGGGTAATATTAGATAAATCCGCTGATATGATTAATGATGCTATTTAACCGTCTGGACTGGAACGTACCACGAATCACAAACTTAATGGTAATTTGAGATCAGATTTAAACCAAGGATTACCAGACTACACGTGCTAGTTGATTGATATTCTTTACAACAACAAAGGCTGTTATAATGAGTCAATTTTATTTAAAGACAGATAACACGCAATACAAAACCGTTGCGGATCCACAGACAAATATGGAGCGTGTTTCAATTTGTCTGTGGGTTTCCAGATTGGGAAAATAGGATATGACATATAGTTTTCATAGAAAGTTGTCAAACTAGAGAGCCTTTTTAACCACGGGAAACCCTTACAGATCTGTGTCCATGAAACCATTTCTAAGGATTCAAGGACTTTTTGTAAATTCTCTCTAAGCTGAGATTGTATTGTAAAGGTACCTTGAAACTTGGTCGTATGAGGAAGCATGCCTTTACCACGTGGACATATTACGTAACGCTTAGCATCCCGTCATAACACTGCTTAGATTATAGATTTTTAGTCAATCTTCATTGCAACACTGGTATTCAATCAGACAGGTATTCAAACAAACAGGTGCGCACGAGGAAATGCGGCCCACAATGAACTATGATATATTGCGTCATCTCGTAAGGCTGTCGGATCGA